GGATCAGAGGCCGAGGGCCGCCGAGCTGAACCCAGAGCCTTGGATCAGAGGCCGAGTTCTCCTTCAGCTTCATGTGCATACAATCAGGGCGGAGCACCGCAGCAGCGCCCCCAGGAGGTGACCGGGACAAACAACACGAGACACAAATGCTGCAGGTTCTCCGGCGTGTAGCCACCAAACCGGCGCCGCCCAGCGTCCTGCCTGGAGGCTACAGCTTTCATAGTCCAGCTCCGTGTCAGACACACACACACACACACACACACACCCACACACACACACAAACACACACTGCAGAAAAAATCACAAGAAAAACAAGCAACCAAAACTGATGTAAACATTATTTTAGGAAAAGAAAACAACACCTGAGACTATGTCCTCGTCGTAGAGCGCTCTGACTCATTCTGCTTTTAGGGGAAAATAAAAGCTCTGCCATGTTTGTAGTCCGTCAACCCATCCCCTTCGTCTCAGGACATAAGGACAGTGTGATGGAGGAACTGCTCTAGAATCACCAGGAACCGGCTGTATGATCCAAATCCCCAGGAAACTGCCAAATGTTCAGCGTTGCTGCTCAGAGGTTGTTTCATGAAGGGGATCTGAAAACGGTGAACTGGTAAATATCAGAAGGGAAGGACCCAAGCTAAACCCACCGTCTACATCCGTTGAGTCAGACTAGTTCAAACTCAACCTGCGGTCAGAGAAAACTTCACCCCACCTTTTGATTCACTGGTCTTCTTTCAACCAGTGTCCAGGACCTGTTTAGCCTAGCATAGCACAAAGTTTGGAAGCAATGGGAATTAGGTTAGCTTAGCTCCACCAAGAGAGAGAGAAAAAAATCACCTTCTAATGTGCTTTCAGCTGTGGCACACCTTTGTGCAAATAGAAAGTCAGCGCTGAAGCCACTACTCACAAGGTTAGCTGGTAGCCTGGTGTAGCCTGCAAGCTAACTGCCGCCACACTCATCATTTGTTCCTGGGACTGTTTATCATTTCACTCTGTGATGAGTTACTGAAGAGGGACAAAGCTCTCTAGGCTAGCAAGCCAACTGTCACATAGCAAATTATTCAAGTCATGAAAGCTCATTTGTTAGCAAACTAGTAGGCTCAAGAATTAGAGTTACTTTGCTAGCTTGCTAACAAAATCAGGAACCAGCACTCAGTCTCTTCATAGGCTGATGAAGTGAAGATCTGGAGCTATTTTGCTAGAAGACGAAGTAACTGAAGAACAAAGCTAGCTAATTTCAACTACCACTATTTATACAATGCCAATATTTCAAAGCTAAAGCTAGCATGTTAGCAGGCAAATAAACTCAAGAATCATCATCATCAATCAAGGTACATTGTTGGGAACTAGTTTTCAAGCTGTTGCTAAAAACGAAGTACAACTAGTTAGCATTTAACAACCTCAAAATCAAACTAGATTATCAAAAAGCAAATAAGCACATTAACTGGAGCTTGTTTGGCAACTGCTGACAAAACCAAAAACTAAAACCAGTTTGTTAACAAGCTAGTAAACTCATTAACTTAAGCTGCTAATGCTAATTTTGTTGTAAGCTAGTAAACTCAAGAACTAAAGCTACATCGTTAACCAGCAGGCAGACTCAAGAACTGTCACTTAGGAAGTGCGATCTGGTTTAAAACTGGTCAAGGGTGCGAGTTTGTTGGTCAAAAGGTAGCAAAGTTTAACTCCATATGAAAATAGATGCCAACATATGAGACAAATTCTAAGCTAACAGGACTAAGAAGCTAATATTTAGATATTTGTCAAACTATGCAAATCGTTAGCTTTGCTAAAGCAAACAACAATCATCTCTTTTCTGTCTTTTTAAGGACGTAGCTTAGCAGTTTTCCCTTTGTAGCAAAACACATACGACATGTGCACTGATAAGTCAAAGCACTGTGACCGCTAAGAGATGCTAACAAGCTGAGGTCTGTAGGACCAATATTATGTTAGCCGTTAGCTAGGTGGATATAACAAGAGTTCTTTTCACTGCAGGAACTTGCAGGTCGTCTTTGTGCGACCACAGGAACCTCCCCGGTAGAACTTCCACCTCTACAGAAGTTCTCTATTTAAGTCAACACAACAAAGCGCCGTAGCTCTATCTACGACATACAACTGCAGCTACATCCAATAGCTACGATTTGTCATTTTTTTGCGCCCAGAGTTAACTTGGTGGTCAGAAAAGGGCTGTTCCTGTAAAACACTGACAAAGATTCCTGCAGTGGAAAGCGTCGGTGTGAGTGAGACAGACATGGAGCTAACTTTGTGCTAAGCTAGGCTAAACAACCACTGTGACAGAGAGATGAAACTTGTAGCAGTAATGCAGTAAAAACAGACTATTGTTGATGTGAAAACATGACTGTGTTTCTAAACAGACGTTTTGTACCAAAGTGAAGGAAACATCTTGCTGCACTGATTCTACAGTAGATGGATGTTCAGTTTGAGAAACACTGGGACCTGTGAGCCAGGTGTTGCAGTGTTTTTGGTTACCTGGTGATGCTGCTGAACCCTTAATGATGCAGGTTGGTGTTCAAAAAGCTACTGGACACACACAGACAGGCTGACAGCGCACACGTCAAAACACACACAGGACAGAAAACATTTCCCTTGAAAGTCCTGACAGCTTCAGGCGTCGAGGGTAGACCGTCCGGCCGAAAAGCGCTGCTCTTCTGCGTCTACCAGACTACTCTGCTGCTGCTGCTGCTGGAAGAGTCAGAGTGACTTCACACAGTTCTGACAAATGGAAAGAGTTTTGATTGCTAAACCTACACAGACACAAACATCCCCGCTCCCTTTGTCAGGTATTCACGATTTAAGGTAGTTCAGGTGAAATCAAAACCAGAAAAGAAAGCGTCCTCCGGCGAGCCCAGTGATTCGAGGATCGGTCCAACGGAAGCGGCGAAGCTGAAAACGCTCATCCAGCTGGTGGGACGATGTGCTGCTGAAATCGATGTGGAAGCGTGGCGAGTTCATTGGCCAGCGGTGAATGACGTCATCCGAAGGTGGCGACATCCAGACAGCACTTTGAACAACATGCAGCGAAAGCTCGGCAGGTCAGAAAAACAAAGCTTCCATGTGATGTGTTGAACGAACCGGCAAGATCCACAGAGCGACGGAGGGACGGCCGACAGGGAAGAGGGACTGCAGTGCGTCTGCGTAAGCGAGGCTTCTACCACTACGAGAACTGGCGGTTGGCGAGTTATTTAGCGCTCCAACACTGGAGGATGGCGGCGACGCAGCGGGTTCGTTTGAAGACGTCACCAGGCCAAGAAAAAGGACCGCGTCAGCGTCAGCTATGACCCCTCGACGGGTCGAGTCCTTGCGACCCGCACTGGGATCAGGAGTCAAGACACGAGTGCGAACGAACGAAATCCAGCCCAGGCACAAATTTTTGAACCCCGCACCCACCCGACAAAAAACAACAAAAAAGAAAAATTTTGGCTTTGTGGTTATTTACAGTGACTTCCTGTGGACACAGTTTAGGGTCCCTCCACTTTCCACAGGAGGGCAGGACTGGATGTTGGCGACCCGGCGCCGGCGTCGAAGGTCAGGGTCAAGTCTTCAAGCTGAAAGGGGGGTGGAGCTAATCGCGCCAGTCTACTGTATGAGTGTTTGTGTGTGTAGTGATTCTTCAGTCAGCTTAACTGTTGTGTAGGTATGGCCCTCAACTAGCTCCGCCCCCAGCTACTGGTGGACCTCGTTGGCGATCAGACTGTCCTCCCCTGACTGGAAATCCGCCTCGTTGATGCTGTTCCCTCCGTTCAGCATCTCCTCGTCCTGGGACGAGCCTCGGTCCTCCTCGCTGCTACCGCCGCCCGGCTCATCCGAGTTTGGGTCCTGAAGCACCTGAGCGATGTACATCTGCTGCTGCTGCTGCTGCTGCTGGACCACACAAACCACAAGCAAGTTAGCCACCAGGGGGACAAAGCAGCACAACCAGTAGGGTTATAACAACCAGCGATGCTGCAGTCGATGACAGATGTTTTAGTTTCAGACTGAAATCAAATGTATGTGTAGAAAATGTACCAAACCCACCAATCAGATGTCAACTTCTTGATCAGACAGTTTCTGACTTAAACAACCGTTAGACAAAGGTTTTATTCAGGTGTCCCTGTTAAGTGTTCTTAAAGCAAAATTAAGAACCAGAGCTCCTTCTTTAAGCGAGCTAAAAGACTTGGATCTAAAACTAGTTAGGTAGCAAACTAAACACCTGAAGAAACACATCTTTGCTAACTCCTACTCCTGCTGTTTATACCAAGCTAATGATTTTAAAAGTAAAGCTAGAGGGTTGGCAGGCAAACAAACTCAAACATTACAGCTCTTTTGTTAAAAACTGGAGCTAATTGGTTAGCTGCTAACAAAAATCAAGAAATAAAGCTAGTTGCGTTGTAAGCTAATGACGTTACCAACTAATACTAGCAAGCTAAAAAAAGTAGTTTGTTAAGTGTTCCACTGGCGTGCTCCACCCGCTAGCCTCCTGTCCACCCCCACCCGGTTAGCAAGCTAACAGAAGCTAAATAACTGGAGCTACTTTGCTACTGACAAAACCAAGAAAGAACGATGGTGCCTGTTTTAAGGTACTGACCTCAACAACTTTAACTAGTTTGTTAGGAAGTTAACCTCAAGAAATACAGCAATTGCTAACAACTAGTTAACTCAAGACTCAGAACTAGTTTACCAGGTACTGAAAAAGTCAACAACTAAAGCTAGGTTCTTTGTGAGCTACTAAATTCAAACTGTGAAGCTAGTTTGTTGGTGACCTGAACATCTCAGGATTAGGAGGTTGCTCATGAGGTAGCTCACCTGAGACTTGGTGGTGGGGGAGGACGAGGGACGAGCCGGACGTCCGTTCTCAACAGCGTCCACGTCGTTCTCCTTGGTGTCGATCTGAGACAGAAACGCAGAGAGAAACGGTGGAGTTATCGACGTCTCATCGCTGCTGCAGGAACCTCCATGAGACGGCTGCTGTACCTTGTAGTTGTGAGCGCTGAGATACTTGAAGTGTCCGAAGCAGACGTGCGACAGACAGACCACGATGGTGACGGTCAGCACCACCAGAGTGAACATGGAGGTCGGCGTCTTGAAGCCTGACAGCACAGTAGCAGTTAGCTTTAGTTAGCATCACCAACATCGACATGCTGTCACTCACACAGGTTCATGTATTGGTGCTACTTTACTTGATGTCAACTAAGTAAAGTGGACTTGTCTTGGACTTGTCTTGGACTTGTCTTGGACTTGTCTTGGACTTGTCTTGCTTGATTTAATTCAGACTTGTTTCAACCAACTTGTTGTGAACCTGAACCTGGACATCACTTGGACTTGTCTGGCCTGACTCGAGGTTTGATTTGGACTCATCATCACGACTCGACTCGTCTCGTTTGAATGGTTTGGACTGACTTGTTTTGAACCTGTCTCGGATGTCACGTGGACTTGTGTTCTTGGGACGTGATTTGGACTGTAAAATGAAAATGACAGCTCGTGGCGTCGTCCAGCAGGGGGCGAGGCTCACCTGTGCGTACGGTGGAGAAGAAGAGCAGCCAGAAGAGGCAGAGGATGGGCGCGGCCACCACCTGGGTGACGGCTCCGGAGTGGATCTTCTTGTCTAGTTTGGAGGGCAGGTAGGCGTAGTACATGTTGTACCGGTCCACCAGGTGTTTCAGCAGCATGTACATCAGACCTGCAGGAGGACAGGTAAGCTGAACACACCTGTTTGGGGCAAGTTCACCTGAGATTCAACGGAGATGTGTCCTAACTGTCTTTGGACCTGAGGCTTTAAAAGCTCATGACCCGGACATACCTGAGCTAACCTGAGACTCTCTTTAGACTGACCTGGACCTGTCTGAACAGACTTGATGTGGACTGGGTACTAGCAGTAATACTGTAATACTGTCTTGCACATACTGTGGTAATACTTCAGTACTGATGCTGTACTGCAGTACTGCTGGTACTGCAGCAGCAGCAGAGACTGACCGAAGGGTACGATGATGGGGCAGGTGATGCTGTAGGCCATCACCACGGTGAAGACGTTCATCATCCAGGCGTACGCTGCTCCGAACTGGAACTCGTAGGCCTGATGCTGCACGGAGGACAAACACAGCGTTAGAGTGGGTGTGGCGCCCCCTTTAGGCTGACATGTTCCTGCACTGCGCCCGTCCTCACCCTCTTGACGTTGCGGCGGTCAGCGGCGGAGCGAGCCAGGCACAGCCGGATCATGTACATGAGCAGGCCGGGGATCCGCAGCAGGTCCATGGCGTTTCCGATGAACGCCGACGCGATGACGTAATTGACGAAGAACGCTCCGTTATCCGGCAGGAAGACGCACCTGAAAGAAACACGTATCGCTACTGACTGATCAATCAAACTTTACTGACAAGTTATCGATGCTGATTTCCAAAGGCAGCTGCAGATGTTTTCCTAACCAGTCGCAGCGCTAGCGGTAATTAATCAGCTAGCTGTTAACCAGCTGATCAGTCTCTTCCATGTCTTCAACTCGTGTTCACGATCTGAGCTCTGGCTAGAAGGTATTAAACACAACAAGAAGTCTTCGTCATGGTGGCCGGCTGCTAGCTAAATCCCGCTACCCCCTGGTGGAACAAGCAGGTACTACAGCTAATCTGCAATACATTTTCAGACATGTATGTTCTTCATGTTCTGTCTTATTGGTTAATATGTTTCAGTCTCACGGCAGTTTGTGAAATAGTCACGAAAACCATTCACATACTGGACCACGGTTTGTCCGACTTTCTCGTGTTCCCAGCTTGAATGTCAAACCAATACAGTTCAACTGGGATTAGCTTTCCCGTCTGGAACACGCTTTCCCATCAGGCAGCGCATATACTGGGATGTTTCAGTCGTTCTTTTCTTCCCACAGTCAGCATTAACCAGTTTTCCTGTTCTGGCCCGTCCACACTCATAACTACAGAGGTCACTGTACAGACGTCTGGCCCACACTGACCAACGTTAACAATCTAACGAGGGGGAGGAGCAACAAACCCCCAATTAAAACCCAAACTCAGGTGTTATTGTCTCCTTCAGGATATCAGGATGTGGAACTCCCAACTAGTCAGTCAGAGCTGATGGAGCCTCCTGGATGGAGGTGGAACGTCTTCAAGGAACTCAAGCAGGTCCAGCTGATACCATTAATCCACCAGAAGAACCAATAGATTAAATGTTCGTGACTATTTCACAAACTGTACATTTAGCAATAATCATGAACATCCCTAAAGGCTCCAGATTTATTCCCTATAAATGATCGAGGTCTTGTCATCGTTACACGTAGCTCTGGGTTTTTAGTTCCATGATGATAAATAGCTTTGAGTGAACGGTAGGAAATAAAAACGACTTACTCAAACCTGACTTTGGCATCAGCCAGAAACTTCTTATCGAACAGCCAGCGGAAGAAAACGTCCAGACTGGAAACCACAGACAGACAGACGTTAGCGATGTTAGCGACGTTAGCAACGTTAGCAGAGCCAGAAGTTCAGTGACTGTTTACCTGCTGAGTCCGAGAGACGGCAGCAGCAGAACCATGAAGATCAGGAAGGTGTAGCACTTGTGCATCGTAGTCCTGTTCTCTCCAGACCTGCACACACGGGGGCAAATCAGCACTCAGACAGGGGCAAGAAAGGAGCCATAGCAGAGGGAAAAAAGGGCAAATCAAGGGGAGAGGAGGTGTAAAGCAAGCACTGAAGAAGAGGGCAGGAGGCAGCGGTACCTGGTCCAGTGAGCCTCGAAGAAGGCAGAATAGTAGACGATGGTGGGCAGCAGAGCAGAGAAAGCCCAGAGCAGCAGAGTGGGGAAGAACTGAGTGATGATAGGATTCTGTCCACAAACAGACAAACAGAGAGTCAGAGAAAGACCCGACCGAAGACCTGCGCAGCGCGACCCGACGGCAGCTCGAGGCTTCTTACGTTGAGATACTCGACGGGCTTGGTGACGTTGAACTTGTCCATGGTGGAGATGATGATGGCGGGCGTGGTGAGGAAGAAGAGCAGGATGAAGAGGATGCAGTTGATCACGAAGCAGCGGATCCACCAGGAGATTCCGCCCAGCGACAGGTTCTCCCTGCAGGAACAACAGGACACAACATCAGCTGACATCAGGCAGCGGGTTGAGGTGGGCGGAGCTTGTGGGCGGAGCTTGTGGACGTACCAGCGGACGTTCTGCGGATCGGGCGCGTAGGAAACGCTCCAGTTGTGAACGTGGAGAACGTCGCTGAACTGGGAGGAACGTGGCTCCTGACGACACCGACAACCCTGAACCTGGCAGGCGTTGAAGTCCTTCAGAATGCTGCGGAGAGAGGACAACAATGACAGCAACCAGGTGGGGGCGTGGCCACAGAAAAGGTAGATTTGATAAATACTTTCACATTAGAAACAAACTGAAAACAGTTTTTTTGTATGTCATCTGTATTTCTGCTTCTGGTTCAAGTGAAACGGGTAAAAACGGTCAGAACAGGAGCAAAACGAGGCTGAAAGCAGAAGAAGTGGAGGGCAGGCTTAGGGGCGGGGCCATGTTCAGGGTAAAATGTGGGCGTGGCTTACATGGCGGTCATGGCCTCGTTCTGGAAGGTGACGAAGGCCATGCCCAGTGGTTTGGTGTGGACCTTCTCCTTCTCCTTGCGGTACTCCTCCTTCAGCTTGGCCTCCCTCTTGGTGTAGTAGCTAACCGCCTCCTCCTGCAGGTCAGACACAGAGCTTAGCATGCTAACACTTAGCATGCTAACGTTCACATGTCAGCACTGGTAATATGTGGGTGGAAAGCTGGATGACGTAGCGGCCAGCAGCTCATTTAGCTCTGAACTCCAGCTCCTCGTTAGCAGCCTGGGGTGGATGTGAAAACATTAGCGTTAGCGTCACCTCCTCGCAGCCGGCGATGGCGCAGCAGCACAGGTGTCCGCAGGGTTTGGGGTTGATCATGGTGGGAACGTGTTCCTTCGCCATCAGGTCGGTGAAGAACTTCTTGCTGCGCTCCGTCTTCTTCCTGCGGACACAGTCGTGGTTATTTTAAGGACGTACAGACGGCGCCCCCTGCTGTATGGAGGCTGCGTGCAGTTAGCTTCCACAAAAAATGATTAATTCTACTGTGTTTGCTGATCGAGCTGCACGTTGTACATGATGCATTTCAGCTGTAAATCTCAAGATGTCTTCAACAGTTGGTGGTCTTACTATTTTTCTTATATTTGTTTTGTTTCAAAATCCCAAGTTGTGATACTGTTCTGTTGTTTTTACTATTGTATATGTATTTTATCTAACAACTTGATTGTATGAGTTTCAGCCTGATTCTTTCAGTTTTGAAATGCCGTCATCTTGGTAATTTTTCTCAAACGTAAAAGGCCTTTTTGGGTTCAGACAGTTGCAGAGGATCGCATTTTCAGAGGTGGGCATTTTAAATAGTTTCTAAAATCAGAGGTGCGAGTGTCGTCATAGTCCGAGACAGGAGATCTGATTTGGCTTTTAGCAGCGTTTAGCTTGGAGCTGCAGCGTATCCCAGCATGCACTGGGCCCCGCCTCACCTCTCGGCGTTCAGCGACATCAGCTTGGCCACGTTGTAGCAGATGCGAGCCTCCAGCACCGTGCAGTTCTCATACGCCTGCCTGAAGGACGACAGACAGATGAAGCCCTGAAACCTTCAGGCTGAGCAGACGTTTAATGACGAGGAGGAAGAGCAGGAACTTACTCAAAGTGCTGCTTGATCTGACTCTCCTCAGCGTATTTAGAGATGCCATTAATGAATAAAGTGCGTTTCACCTGCAAGACACAAACCTGGGATTAACACACAGCCTAAAGTACAAAGCTCCTCAAAGTTTGGTTGTGTTCATCTTTGCAGACTGAAAACCAGATCAGAGTTCTGGTCCACAGTCTGGTTCTGACCAGGTCGTCCTCCTTGTAGTGCATCTTGGACGTGTGTCTCCTCATGCTGTAGACGGTCAGGAGCAGGTACATGAAGGCAAACGAAGTGTGGAGCCACAACAGGTTCGTCCTGGAAGCACAAAACGTGTTTTACTTTCGACTACATCCTCTGAAAAATCTTAGATATTAATGATCAGATCAAAACCACAGCTCCAAAACCTGCAGAGCTAGCAGTTTCTCCTTGATTTCAGTGTGTGTGCTATGCTATGCCAAGAGTTTCCTTGAGTTTTAGTGTATGCTATGCTACGCTAACAGTTTCCCTGTGTTTTAGTGTGTGTGCGCTATGCTACGCTAACAGTTTCCCTGTGTTTTTGGTGTGTGTGCTATGATATGCTAACGTTTTCCCTGTGTTTTTGTGTGTGCTATGCTATGCTAACAGTTTCCCTGTGACATCGTCTGTGTGCAATGCTATGCTAACAGTTTCTCTGTGTTTTGGTGTGTGCTATGCTAGGCTAGGCTAACAGTCTCCCTCTGTTTTTGGTGTGTGTGTTATGCCATGCCAACAGTTTCTCTGTGTTTTGGTGTGTGTGCTATGCTATGCTAATGTTTTCCCTGTGTGCTATACTATGCTAACAGTTTCCCTGTGTCGTAGTCTGTGTGCTATGCTACGCTAACAGTGTCTCTGCGTTTTTGTGTGTGTGCTATGCCATGCTAACAGTTTCTCTGTATTTATGTGTGTGTTATGCTAGGCTAACATTTTCCCTGTGTTTTGTGTGTGTGCTATGCTAGGCTAACAGTTTCCCTCTGTTTTTGGTGTGTGTGCTATACTATATGCTATACTATACTAAGAGTTTCCCCTTGTTTTTACTGTGTGTGCTATGTCATGCTAACAGAGTCCCTCTTCTCCCAGTGTTTATGCTAAGCTAGGCTAAGAGTTTTGTGACTCACCCAGACTTGAGGTTGGCTATCGTGGTGCGTCCGAAGCTGTAAGCGTTGTTTTCTGGAAGAAGAAGTGAATCAGAAACCAAACGTAGCAGCAGCTGTAACTTTAAACTGAACCTGGAACATGAAGGTCGCTGATCAACACAACAAACCTACAGCAACGACGACACACCGCTGAAAACCACAACACAATAACAAGCCTCTCTTTGTTGTTGTGTCGTGTGTCTGTTGTTATTCTGTGTCTGTAGATGTGTCTAGTGTCCATCCAGTGGTTCTACTCTGGGACTCTACAGACCGGCCCGGGCCAGGTGCACCAGGCCCGGTCCAGGACCTGCACCACCACTCCGTCTACCATCTGACACCACACACAGGTCTACAGGTGAGCAGAGCGCCTACAGCTCCGCCCCCTTTACCTTCTTTGGAAGGAGGTCCGGGCGCTCCCTGGCTGAGGAACGCGTCTTTACTGATAATTCTGACTAGAACCAACCAAACACAGGCGACAGCACGGTGAGACAGAAGCCCAGAGTGTGCAGAACCCTCAGACGGAGCCCGGTTCTTACCCAGCAGGTCTCCAGAGAAGTTCACCGGCAGCACGATGCCGACGGACAGAACCCCGACCACGACCAGCAGCCCGATGATGTGGCGCTGGAAGGACAAGTAGTGGACGGCGTCTTCACCACACTTCTCCCTGATCTCCTCGTCCCTGAAGACACACCAGAGCAGAGTCTGTGGTGAGTTCACTGTCTATATAACTGCAGGACTGATCAGTTTGGTGTTTCTGAGGTCGATACTCACTTTATTCTGAAAATTGCCGTCAGCCACGAACAGAATCCCTGAAATTAAACAAAATGCAGAAGAAGAGTCAGAAGCTGAACTGAACCCAGACCAGACTTGAGACTTCTTTCATGCTGAACATGTTTCGCTCTCCGTCTGTATTCAACAACCAATCTGTTGGTGAAGTCGGGTTATCCTGTCTGTGGTTGTCAGTGGTCTGTTTCTAAGCCCTCTGCTCTGGTTCTTGGTTTCAGGCTGTTTCCTGCCGATGACGATGGTCGCTGTGTGCAGGTGAGGTCAGCTGAGGGGGCGGAGCCTGAGCTGACCAGGTCGACCTGCTCTGAGCCGCTCGCTGTTAAACTGGATTACAGGCGACAGATTAAAGCAACAGAGACGAGCTGACTTTCACCACAGGACGTCCTGATCCGACACACGGCTGTGCACGCTCCAACACGCTCCAACATGTTCCAACACAGTCCGACACGCTCTGACACG